ATGTATATAAATTCTCTAAAACTGGATTTTAGGGAATTATAGTAACACAAGTTTGCTCCTATATGCTTATGCTGGAGGATCATTTAAGTCAAGCCCTCTGCGGTATTTTAACTTTTTCGGTTACGCATTCTGCATCGTTTGTTGGAAGAGCAGCATAAATGTCCTTTACTGTATTGACACATTATTGTCCTTTACCAGGCGAAAGGAAAAGAGCAATGCATAGAAAGATTACTTGCTTAACTGATGTTTGGACCTGTTTTTGGTCCGTATTATTCGTCGCTGTTAAAACGACGAAAACACGAGTTATGTAGATGAAATTTTTCTTGGAACGGAGTCGTTTATGTGCCACCTAATTGCGTATTTCACGCGCGGATGGATTAAAGTATGAATACCGATGTAAAAAAGGGACCACAGCTGAAAAACGGCTACCAACTCGGACTTGTCCGTGAGAAGACATCAAGGCGACTCAACTGGATGCAAACTGATACGCCTGTTGGCCGCAGCTGGATGCAGTCCAAAAGCAGATAAGTTAATTATCGGAACGATCGATTTACCTACATCTTAACCTTAAAGAAGGCCAAAACCTTAAAAGCTAAACCTTAAAGATACATCAGTATCAGTCAATTTTCTAGCTAGCGTAAAAATTATACCGCTTTTATGTTATTTCTTGTACGGTAACTAATGCACTGAATCGAAATCATTTTCATTCTTGCAAAATTTTCACTGCAGCTCGACCGTCAGAATGTCAGTTATACTCACTGTGCATAATTTAGAACTCCATTGAAGACGGCTTTAATGCCAGGGACTGGATGGCACACATCTGCAACGTGGCCGGCGGAAAGTGTGGCGGGAAAGAGCACACGGCTCAAGCAACGCTGAATGGTGAAGGAGATATCGATGCTGTTATTAAGGCAGCTACAGAGTTTGCCGTTCTGAAGTTAGGAGTTGCGAGCTAATGCCAGTAAACGTTTTTTTAGATGTTGCTAATGCTATTTGACAATCACTGCTACTAACCGTAAATTAGATCCATACTGACAGTAAACCAAGGAAGCTAACTTAAGTCATAACCACCGTATCCTAGTCCCGACGTGTCTTTATAATAAGAAATGTTGAGTTTAAGCTTTTAGACTACTGCCATTTACTCATTAGCTACGGAGCATCTCCATTTCAGACTATTAATAATGATACGTAATCAATACTGAGATCGATTTTTCCCCGAATGGCTTCCCATAACTTGGAATTAAGCCTTTATTTTCTAGAAACTTCAGCTTAAACCTAGTCTTGGCAAAAGAGGAATTTGTCATGTATAAATATTTCAAGTAAAAGTTCCCCATCGTTATTACCAAACCATTTTCATGCTATTTCTTCAAGATTGAGAATTGCTCGACGCCAGTCATGATAGAAACGATGCTGATAGCCTTTCCCCCATAATGAGAATACCTTTTTTTCGGATTTAGCCACAGCATTCAGTAAACAAGAGAATAACACCATGGGTTGGTAGACCTCTTTACAACTTTGAAGTAATTTCCTCTAAAGCAAGGACGTTTATCACAAGCCTGACTATAACTTGATTTTTCATCATGTTAGCTACATTCTGAATCGTGGATGACAGTTCATACGCAACGTAGAATGAGGTTTCATACAACGCTGTGAGTGACATCAGGAAATGGCAGTAAAAGCTAACGGCATCACGAAGAATGATAAACTGTGGCGAACACAGCTGAAGCTTCTACATCGTACCGTCAACTTGCTGGACAAGGAAACACATATCGAACTATTTTGTTAAAGTACTGATAGCAGCCATAATCTTTTCATTCAGGTGTTTAGTCAGTGCTTTAGACAAAATTTCTGTTTAGCTATGAATACGCTATTATTTTTTGTTAATTCGAACTTTTAGACATCATCATGTTAGCATGTTCTACAGCCTGTGAAAAACATCGAGTCGCCGTACTTATGCGATTTAGTTCTTTGATCATTTCGACTCTGTATCGACCAGATTGGATTTAAAGGAAGCCATGCACGCGGACGACGAGAAACATTGTAATTTTATGATCGCACTGAAATTTACACTAGGTGCTGATAGATGAGCGTAAAGATCGAAACAGTGAAACAACCGGCAACCAAGATGTATGCGTGGTTTTCTGGTTCTCAGTATAACTGATGTCCGACTGTCTAACTGACGATTTAACATTGGACACTAGCTTGCGGCATTTACCTTTGGTATGGCATTTTTCACTGTAACTGTCAAAAGAAGATAGCAGTATTCAGCTCTATTCCAAAGGCATCCATAACATTGCGCGTTTCCCTCCTAATTTAATTCTATGCACACTTCACAACCATAAATAGCTTTGAACAGTTTATAAAACAGCAAATCAATTTTTATGGTGCAAAGCCGTGAACGAGCAAACAACAGAAGCTCTGCATTGTAACTAGTTTTTACAGTGTTCGATGTTCTTCAGATAGAACATTTCTTGATCTGATCTTCACGTGCTTTCTACCCTTCTGACCAATACCTCCGGCCACACAAGCGAAAGATTTAACGCGGTTGACTTTAAATAACTATTCGCGGGGTCCACGATCGGGTCTGTCGTGGGACCGACATATTTTCAGTACGGTCTAAATTTTCTAGCCGCACGCATCAGCTGTAGGCGCTTTTTGTCCTCTTCAAATTTTTTCTGCAGTTCCTCTATTCCTGGGAATTAAAATGTTAATTATATACAGTCACTGGTACTAATAAGAACTGAAAAAAATCTCTGGATTAATAACACGAAAATTAAATAAGTTTTAATTAATGCATATGTAGACATAAGAAGAATTATACTCGAATTTTTGTAGGAAGCCTCAAACATGGCAAGAACTTCGCGTTGACCAGGCTTCTATAGTGACTCATATTTCAATGACCGTAATGGAGGTCACTGCAACGATGGGCTAACGAAGCAGTGGCATTTCAATCTCATTTCTTAAAAAGAATATTTGCCTAAATAGAACGTTCTGATTACGGGTAGGAGTAGACAAACAGATAAAAACACTGAAGATCATTATCTGTACCCATATCTTGAGAAAAACTTTAAGATCATTCTGCGTTTTGTCTAGTCAGAGGTCGACGCTACCAGACTGAATCAGGCTACTTTCTTCATTTCGTTGCTTGAAGCCAAAGTCTCATCTGAACGCAATTTGTTTCCAGCAATTACTTACTGTTTGCAATGCACGGCAGTAGACCCTTGGTCATACCTGTTCGTAAGAGTTTGACATGGCTTTTTCTAATTTTGCAGAAATTACCTAGTTTTCCAACCTTGATCAGAATGCATCCTCGGCTCTACTTGCCTCTGTACGTTCTGACTGAAACCGTTCGTTTTTTAACCCTTAAGCTACGTTGAAATCAGACAGTTCTGAGTACAGTGTGCCTCGTGCATTAAATCATACATGTCACAGAACCTTACGGAATTTTCCAATTCTGTTTATTTATTTCGGTAAGAAACGTACTTTTCAACTTTGATTCCCTGATTTGAAAGTTGTAGAAGTCAGAAGATTCCTGAATAAAAAGTCAAGTCATTGACCTTCAAGGCAAGAAAAATACTTTTTTCTTTTTCTGCTCCTTCCGCACCAACTTTTCGTTCAATTCAGAACTTCGACGCAATGGTTTCCGCTTATCTGTATTCAAATGTTAACAAAGTACTACGAAAATCAACTGAAACACCTTCTCGGGTAACCGTTATCCACCCCTCTTCGTCCGGGATTCCGCGCTTAGCTTTGCGCTCCTCCTTCTCCTAATAGCAGATTTACTCCAAACATCAAGTACTGAAAGCAGGATGGTTTTTACCAACTTCTTCTTTTCATCGTACTCATCGATTGTCGCTTTAATGACGCTCTGCAGTTCCTGAACATCTGGTATATCGAGATGATACAGAGTTGCCCATTCTGAAAGAAGGTGTTTACGCTCAGCGCTCGCTATGCTCGCCTTCGGCTCATCGAAACCATTACTTTCTACACCATTAGGTGGCAATTTCTTCATCACTATGGAATGCTTCTCACTGTGGTCCATCGTAGCCTTCACAGAGCTCTCTTCTTTAAATACCACATAGGCAACTCGATATCCCTTAAAGTAATCCCTACTTTTCAACCGCAAAGGGAAACTTAAACAGAATGTTAAAGAAGCATCCTACTGCTCTAAGGTTCAAATTTCACATTTAAACAAAATAAGGAAATAAAATAAATAACCTTGATGCGCTTAGATACTTATCAGTCGCAGTTTCTAGAAAGTCTGTCACAAAAGATTTCACTTAAGAAAAGTTTAAACATCCTAACCATGATTGTTAAATACATTTTTAAGATGGCGATGGTCATTCTTGTTACTTTCATATTTTGCACAACTTCCTGCAATTCGCTTACATCAGACAAATGTTTCATGGAAGGTTATATCAAGCTCAAGTTTGTTAGGCTGACAGCTACAAGAGCAACAGTTTTTCAGAGACATTATCACACTTACTAGGTACACCTGAACATGCATAATATTGGTTAAAAAATAGATAGATAATCAGATAAACAATTTTTTAAATTGTGCGTTGTCTTAGATGTAATTTTTAACATGGAGATTCGGTATCTATAACAGATCTGCGAGACGTCTCTGTTCTCGCTGATATACAGGTTAGGTTCGAACCAACCGAAAATCCCAAAATGTAGAGAACGTCCTTGAACCATTTCTTTGTGCAGAAGGTCTTCGTTGTTCAAGATCTGGCTGGCGAAACATACTGTACTCGAAATTACGTATATAATAGAAAAGAGTACAATTTTATCGTACGTTGAGCAGATAGGTGGCATGCCCTATTTTTTGAAGACTAGCGGGTTACAATATGCCAGTACGATAGTCGGATTCATGATCAGTGCTTTTTGCAGGACAGCTGCACCAAAGCCATTTAAAAACTGCCAGTTCCAGTCACTACTGCATCGCTACCTGACTTTTTGGAGTCGCAACAGGATTTCATAGCTACGGCTGCCCTTGAGCACATTATATGTATGTAAGGATGGCTTCTGGAGAAATGCGAAGAACCCACCACCTTGTCTACTGTACCGGTCTTAGCGCAAAATCAGCTGAATTTTATACAAATGAGAAAGCAGTACGCAAACAATAAATTTTCAAAGCAGATTTTTTGCAATTACGCGGTTATGGGATCAACTTAGACCAGTACCGCCCACGAAAAATAATCAATTACCACACTGCTCAATTCTTCATTCGCTGACGACGGAACCTCAGGAGCAGTGGCACTTGGAGCTTTTTGCAAAAAGACTTTCTCCACCACTCCAAAGGGTTCGAACAACTCTTGAATAGAAGCCTAAATAATATGCTGAGTATCATTTCACTTACACGCTGAGCAACAGAAATAATACATACTCGGTTGAGAAACGGAGGAACAGCAATGACCATCAATGTTCTTTTTTGAGGTTTTGATTCGTGCTGAACTCGAGTACTGTGCTCCTTCAAGTACATCCAATGATATGCAGTACTATCGGAAGACACCTTAAGTCGAAGTACTACAACAAACGACTATAGAATAGAATATACACAATTTGGCTGTTATATAACTTTTAAAAGAATCGATCTCTTGGTTTTTAAGTTGCTTCTGCTGCTCACCGGCAATCGAACTTTTTCCAACCATGGCACAAGCATGTGAGACGGATTAGATGTGTGTACGACCGTAATAGCCAGTTGCTAAAATCGGCAAGTACATAAATCATGCTTGCTTTTTAACGGAAATATACATAAATAATGTGCCGGAAAGCAAATAGAGTGAAATTCAGAACAATGTACAGACAGGAGGAAACTTATGCCATCAACGCCTATTTTTTATTGTCACAACCAAAAAAATCTGTTAATATAAACTAAGGCACCGCTCAATTCCTGCGGTCAATTTTTAAATAATATATGAATATATGATAACCACTGTAAGACAAATCATTAAATTTAGTGTCATTATGGTACAGTTCTTTAAATGCAGTTCTAAGCAATTTGTCCAGATTCCCAAGGCACTAGGTCAGACTCTGCTCGTAGGGACTCTCTCCGAATACACGAAATCACTTGAGCAAATGAATTTGCCACACACTGCTTCAGGCTGGAGTTATCAGTGGTTAGAGCGTCAAATTCAGAACCGATAGCACAGTCGCCATTCTTCCTTTTAATGTTGATGAATTAGAGCCTCTCTGCAGGAAGAAAACAAGACTCTACATGCTATATTTGCCGCATGACATGAAACGCCGTCTTTAAAAAGTGTCCAGCTATTGGAATATATATAGAGATCAGCACCGTACCATAAACTTGGTAAAAATAAGACACTAAATTGCCAAATCATGAAAGTAAATTAAAACCTACATTCAGAGGTGGCTAACTTTTTTAAATTTAGCGAAAGGTACAATCAGTTACGGCTTTCAATAACATTTTGCTCTGCCGATATTACAGAGTGCAATAAATAATATTGATTACATACCGGTTGAACAAAGAAACCCACATACGGATAATATAAGATGCATTTCATTATAAAAGCTTTTTATCACTTTAGTTTAGCAAACAACGGAAGTGAACAATATATAATATCGTGAAAAAGTTTATTCCTGAACTAGCAATTTTAGAATGAACGAAAGTTTGATCATAATCACGAGTTAAAATATTAATAAACTCTTCTGTGAAAAAATTACTCTCAGTGATCTCTTTGAATGAGCATCTAATTGTTAGATTATGACTAACTTAAGCTTAAATACAGGGTAACAGTCCAAATAATCAGTTCATCTATTGCTTCAACAAAATCTACGGTTCAAAATCGTTTTGGAAATGCCTGAACGCGGGAAATTGAACACGTTTTTGGTTTGCTGCCAAGAATGCTTGATTAAAATTTTTTGCGTAAAAGATGTAAAGCCCTGTTACCTAAATCGAAATCCCGATTATTCCTTCTTTGTCCTTTACAATTTAAGCTAACCAATATTAAGGAAATACTGTTTACGTGATGTGGAATTTACTCTTCAACAAAACGGCGGCACTCCTGCGTACCGATTTTACCATAGTATTCTTCACCCAAGAGTTCAGCTATTTTATATAACGGTTTCTAGCGACATATTTATCGCCTGCATCTATCCGATTTCATCTTAGTAGCAAACATGAGGATTGTAAAGAGTGCTACAATCTAATAGGCCCTTTGGTTATCCGGTTCTCAGCACAAAAACTAAGGAAGACTTTTGTTTTAGTCGTTTCAGTGTTGTTGTCGTCGCGACCATAGAACTCTTCGTCTGCTCTGAGGAAATCACATGTCCCTTTTAGGTCAATAGATTCCTACCTTTTTCTGCTGCAGCTCCGTGTACAAGATAAGCACCAAACAAACAAAGCTACACCTCTATCTTAATAAACTGCAATCCCCTCGCTTGTATAATGACGTTGCGATAAAAGGCAATTATTGATAAAATTATTCATTTTCAGCTCAAAATATTAAGATAAGTAGCATACAAATGTGGGTAATTTGCAAAATGTAGTCAAGGACGTATTTCATGCCGGTTTATATTCGCTTTGAACAGATAGGAATATTTGTCGTTGTCTACGCGTCGATGCATCTCAAAGAGTTATACGGCAGAAAATGGCCGTTTCCAGTGACGCTTCACAGACGGAACTATTCTGTACGCAGATGATTTAGCAGCAAAAGCAGATAACTGTATTTAATGAAATTGCGCTTCAGTGCTTGCGGTCAAGACTTAATTGACTGTAGTCTTGCTTTTGGTCATTTAACACATATTCTTTTTGACATTAGTTAGGTTGTTGACTGCGGAAATAAATAATGCTTTCAAGCGTGTTCGTGGAATATAAAGCATGAGACTACTGCGAAATAATGGAGGAAATCTATCGAATAGCCGTATATAGGTATTAATCTTAGTGCCAGAATATTGTACGTGCACGTAGGGATTAAAAGATTCATAGTGTACCTATTTTAAATGATTCTGCTGCCAAATTCCAGAATTTCAGCATCGGTTTCAAACTAAGTATAGAGATTAATCGTTTTTTACATTAGATTTGCGTTCAGTGTTGCTTTTTTTGTCTTTCATTTCCATTGACTCACTTGGCAATTCGGTAGTGGGTTAAGGATTATGGTTTCAGAATCCTTAAATTGAAATGCACCGAAAATGTGTTGTTTTTCGTTGGAATCGTTGTGCAGCCAGGGATCAGCCAGGGATCTTAATTTTGTACATCTCTGGCTGCAGTCACTTTGATTCTCACCGAATTTTATTCTGCAAATAACTTAAAATCATTTCTTGGTAGCATCGCAGTGTCAATTTAAATTAACGTATCAATCAGTTAGTTTAATCTTTTATATCGGATTTCTGTATGATACCTAGATATTGTATTGTATCATAAAAACCTTCTGATCTAAATTATTCCTATCAGTCTGTAGAAGTAGTTCACTATCCATGTGATATGTCCCTTAAATGTGCTTTTGACATTTTCGTGTACCTCATCGGGTCTTCACGCGTCGCTTAGCCTTTAAAGCGTATATGGTATGATGAGGACAGTAACGCTTGTTTTGAGATTGTGAGACCCGTCAGTAAATTTCTTCGGCCTCGAGAGTCTAGGCCAAATATACCTGCTGCTTTAATGTTTTCTGTCACTGAAGGTATGCTAAGAAAGTTGTCTTTTTGTCTTCATCATCAAGGTCTACTCAGATTAAGCGGCAGAGTAACCAGGTTTATGATATCGAACCTTTGAAATGGTAGCTCAGATTAACGGCAGGCAACGTTCATGGCATTGTAAAATAGATTTTCGTCACCAGCCTTCTAGCGGAAGTTTGTTGATCATAATGAATCAGGCAAATTTGGCCCGTTTCTTTCTCTGGTTCAGAGCAATCTGATAGTGTGGACAAGATGAAAAGTACATTAGTGGAGCAGCAATCAAGGCATATGTTATGTGTAAGGTGAGGAAATGATTCAGAGGTTAGTTTTCCAAAAACAGAGGTTCCATATTCTTTGTAGCGATGGCAACAACATATCTCGGCCAGATGACCATCATATCGCATGATCAAGCCAGAGAGATTGAACGATGAAAGTCGACCAATTATCATGCATTCCATTCGATCAAGCACTTCCTCGGAAACATCAGGAATTAATCCCGCGCCTGACTCTTCATTTCTACTATCCTGTCCGGTGATGTTGCATGGCTTTGAGAGACGGATGTTCACGAAGGCCGAAGAACCCCGGCTTTCTCTCACTGAGAGCTATTGAATGAAGAATTTTGGGAATTTCACGCCACCTCCACATACCCAACACGATGATTATACCGCTAG